GGTGCTCCTGGAGACCTACGCCCGCCGCCTGCGGCACGCCATCGCCGCCTCCTTCTTCAGGGCCCGGGAGGCACGGCGGGCCCGCCACCTTCACGCGCGGCTCCAGCGGAGACACAACAGGAATCTCCTGCGGGCCCCTTCCTGATGCCCACGCGCGGACCCGCCAGCGAGCGCCCAGCTGGACAGACAGGCCTACCGCATACCGGACACTTGGAAGAACAGAGAGCCCCGGAGATGCGGGGAAAGGCCTTCGGAGTCGCACAGGCCTAAGTTGTAACCTTGGCCCTTCTGCTGCCTCCCTGTGTGACCTTGGGCCGGTTGCTGCACCTCTCTGAGCCTCAGTCTCTACAGCCGCATGACAGTGATGGGAGCTACTTTCCACAAGGGAAGGTGGTGAGGACAGAATGAAATACTGGGCATGGAAGGCCTCCATAAACAAAAGCACGCCAAGTGGGAGGCAAGGAAGCGCAGAGACGGCTCAGCGGGCCTTCAGGCCGGTGGGGGTCGGTCGAGGTCAAGGCTCTCACCTCATCAACTGCTTTACCTAGTCAATGGAAACTTCACCTCCCGATGTGTCTAAATGCTCCTGGAACTTATTTCTATGCCCCTGAGTCCTCTGAACTTATTGATAGTAATCTAAAATTGTCATGATTTTGTAAATAAATGTATTTATTAAATCCTAAATTGGGTTAGGTTACTCCTTCGCTTGGAATTCCTTTAGGGGCTTCCCATTTATGGCTGCCAGGTTTAGCAAATGAAAATACAGGATACCAGGTTCCATTTAAATTTTAGATAAACAATGAATATGGGTTTAGCGTCCTTGGGATATATTGTTCTTGTACTAAACATATTTAGAATATGCCCATAGTGGTTGTTTATCTGAAATTCACGTTGAACTGGCTAACCTGTAATTTATCTGGCAACTCTCTCCTCATTGAAATTATAATAAATTGCAATTCCCTACTCTGTAGGCTTGGTACCCCTTGTTTTTCCCTCCAGATCATTCTCTGCCATTCTTCTGCCTGTTGTTGTCTTTCACAGGGGTCTGACCTTTGTGAGCCTATGAGTCATAACACCCTGGCTCCCTTGCCCTCTGTTGATTGGGCCCAGTCGATGGGAGGCACTGACAGGCTGTCCAAAGTGGGAGGGGAGAGAGAGGTCAGGAGATTTGTTCCTGCAGCCTTCTGGGCTGTTACGGGGCAGAGGTCACATTCCGTTAGCAGGAATTAATGGGCTGTTGCTTCATGGCATCCACATCTGGAAGAATTGGCTCTCCTTAGGCCAGGAGTAAGATGGGCAGCTTATTGGACCATCTTTCAGTGGCTGGCATTGACCGTTGTATAGGTGGCTCAATTGTAGTGGGCACCATTCAGCATCTAAATGGATGGATCCTCTGGAGTTGTGCAGTGCACGGCTTATGTGAGTATATAAGGCAGACCTTAATGGGAGTGGGGTAATTCCCCAAAGGAAAATTGAAGTGCTTGTTATCAGGAAAAGAGAGTATGGGTGTCAGGAGAAACAAAACACAAAAGCAACAACATATGTCCACCACAGATGAGGTGACCCAGGTCATCAGCAATGGGGGCCTTCTCCCTGGGCAACAACGTTCATCCGCCAGGCTGCTAATACTGTCACCCATTGGCCACAGTGGAAACTGCATGATCCAATATCTGCTGGCTGGTCTGCCTTTTCGTTCCTCTTCCCCAGCCTCCCTCCCTCCATCCAGTCTTTTCTTCTCTCTTCTCCTCTCCCTCCCCCCCCTTTTTTTAATCTCCCCTTCCCCCCTCCCCTAGACTATCCTGACTAATTCATCATCCCTGGGGACCAGCCCCTGAGCTGTGTGCAGGCCAGGATTTAGCCCCAAAAGTGGGGACCTGGAAAGCTATAGAACTCAGACCCATCCCCCTCTATGTCACTTTCCCTGTTTTCCTCCTCTTTTTAAAAACTATTCTTTCAACAAATGTTTATTGGAGCACCGCCTATATGCTGGAAGAGGCCTGAGGTCACTAACTTTGCCATAGATTTAGTGCATGGATTTCTACTCTCCCAAGACCCACTTACGTCATATTGCCCAAATAACTCTGAAGAGAGATGTCCAAAAACATATCAAAGTAAATATGAGGTCATAATTAATTTTATCCTAATAGAGTGATCAGGAAAATTATCCAATGGTGTTATACCCTCCTAAAAGATGTTGAAGTTTTAACCCCCAGTATCTGTTAATGTGACCTTATTTGAAAATAGGGTCTTTGCAGATGACCAAGTTAAGATGCGATCATTTGAGTGGACCTTAATCTAATACCATTGTGTCCTTACAAGCTAAGGGGATGGAAGAATTGAACACAGAGACAAATATATAGAAAAAGAAGATAGTGGGAAGACAGGAAAAATGCCATCTACAAGATAAGGAGCTCCTGAGGCCCCAAGAAGCAAGAAGAAAGGCTTGGAACAGATCTCCTTGACGGTCCTCAGAAAGAACCAACCTTGCCAACACCTTGATTTCAGACTTCTGGCCCCCAGAACTGTGAGATGATACATTTCTGTTGTTTAAGCCACTCAGTGTGTGGTACCTTTTAACTGCAGCCCTAGCTAACAAATACAGATGGCAAGATGGCAGGAGTAATGATTTGAGAGCAGAGAGAAGTTATTGAAACACTAAGAAAAAATTTTTAAAAGAAAATATGTAACATCAAAAATAAAATTTACCTATGAACCTGTACCTATAAGTGATAAATATTTAATATTTTTTATTTCAGTCTTTTCTTCAGTGCTCATCTCAGTGAGGATCTGTATGTGCATGTGTATTCTAATCGCTCTCTTTACAGACACACATTTGAAATTCAAATTCAATTAATAGGCTTAGAATGCCTTTATATTCCTCTTTCATTTTTTTATATCTTTCATACACAAACTGGAAAAACTATACATTTTAATTCTTTACAGAAAACATTATGTAGATGCACAAGTGGAAGTCCCTTTTCCTTCTAAATAATTTGGGAGCATATGTTTCTAAATTTTATCTAAATTTAAATAGTCCTATGTATTTAAAGGTACATATCTTTATCTAATCATGTATATGTAAAAGAATTATGCTTTATATATTTATTTGCCTTTCATTTTATTTCATTTAGGAGTATATCATGGCATTTTTATTTCAACATATAAATAACCTCATTCATTCTTAGTGCCTGCGCAGCGTTCTATTGTGTGACTGCACCATGATTTATCCAGTTATTCAGGACCAATGTACATTTTGGTTGTTTCCTTTTTCTCTATTATAAACCATGCTTCAGTGAACATCCTTATAAAAGTATCTATGTAAATGTAACTTGTATTCTGAAAAGCACCTTCTGAGAAATAATTTTTTAAAAACTTTATCTTCCACTGCTTTTTAAATTTCTTCTGAAGGAAGCTCCCCCAGATAAAATCTCAGCAGAATCCATGGCTTTTAAAAGGAAACACTCTTGGCCCGGCTGGCATGGCTCAGCGGTTGAGCATTGACCTATGAACCAGGCGCTCATGGTTCCATTAGGGGTCAGGGCCCATGCCCAGATCGTGGGCTCATCCCCAGCAGGGGGCCTGCAGGAAGCAGCCGATCCATGATTCTCTCTCATCATTGATGTTTCTCTCTCTTCCTCTCCCTCCCTCTCTCTGAAAGCAATAAAAATATATTTATCCCTAGCCGGTTTGACTCAGTGGTTAGAGCATTGGCCTGCAGACTGAAAGGTCCTGGATTCGATTCCTGCCAAGGGCACATATCTCGGTTGCAGGCTCCTGTGAGGAAGGCAATCAACTGATGTGCCTCTTTCACATGGATGTTTCTCTCTCCCCCCTCCCTTCCACTCTCTCTGAAAAGCAATGGAAAAAATATCGTCAGGTGAGGATTATAAATTAACAAAAACAAACAAACAAATAAAATACATTTTAAAAATAAATGAAAGGGAAACCCTCTGGCCCTGGCCGGCCCGGCTCAGTGGTTGGAGAGCTGGAGGTGGGAGGGCACCAGGTGCCCAAGGGTCTCAGGTTGATTCCCTGTCAAGGGCCCGCACCTGGGTTGCAGGTTGGTCCCTGTTTCTCTCTCTCTCTCTCTCTCTCCCACTCTAAAGATCAATGGAAAAAATATCCTTGGGTGGGGGTTAACCAAGAGAAAGAGAAGAGCCTCCTAGGGAACAGGCGGAAGCACCCCCGATTGCTCCGACCTGTTTGGGCGCTGGAACGTAAGCAGGGGCCCCGCTGCGGAGCCGGGGAGGGGCCGGGGCCTGGCGGAGCCTCTTCTGCGCCCGCGCCCTTGGGGCCTCTACCTGGGCGCCCCTTCGGGGTCCCCAGGCTGTCCCAGGGTGGGCGCTGCAGCCGGGGACCCCCTGAGCTCGCCGTCTCCTGGCCTGGCGCTGACGGAAGGCGAAGCCGTGCGCCCCAGTTAGAGGAGGGGCTGGGGCGGAGCTCGGAGCCCGCGGCCGGGAGGGGG